CAGATTAGGCGAGGAATAGGAAGGGGGGGGGGGCGCATACTCACAAGGCCTCACGGGTATCAAGCCAGAGCGTTCGACGCGCATGAGGTGATGAAAGTTTGTGAGGGCAGCCGAGAGTCACTGAAGTTGGACCGGAGGTGTCCCAGTTCTAGCCGGCGGGGGTGGCCGTGCGTCAACGGTTGTAGCGGCCATCGATCGACAAAATGGAGCCGGAGAAAAGGGACACTGGAGCGGCTGCTATGTCGTGGGTGGTCCGTCTGGCTATTCTGCCGGAGAGATCGGCCCTGGGTTAACCTTCGTCGTCTTGAGCGGATCAGATGGAACAGGGGTTGATCGGTTCTTGACTTTGGCATCACACGGCGGACAGTATTTCAGACAAACGGGTACAACCTGGACACCTAAGAGAGTCGGTAATGTAGGTGGTATATTGAAAATGGGTAGAGACGGAGAGGGGAAGAACAAAAAAACGTCAGTAAGCGCATATAAATTCGGAAACCAGAGGGAAGGGAAGAACTCTCGTAGATTAAGGTTGATCCAGAGGAGTTTCTCTGACGATATAATCTCGATTACTTTCTGGCTGAACCACGGGGAGCGTAGAGCTGGAGGCTGCTACAGGGGTTGGGATGCGGACTCCGTTAGTAGCTCCTGCAAGCACCCAAAAAACACACAACTACTCTCTTTTTCGAAACAGGCCGCTTTCGTAAAACAAAAACGTGTCAGTTCATTCCTGCCGTATCACAGCTACATTGACATCATTAAGAATCGCCGGTGGTTGGTGTAGTGTGCAGACGACCTCATTATTGTATTTCAGCTAAACAGAGAGAGGAATATATCAGTATATAATACGTAAAATAGGCCAACGGATATACATATGAGAAAATTTCATGTAAATGAAGAGCAGAGAAACTGTGGCTTTATTTCAAAAGCCCGAGCGGGAAATTCGTTTATGCATAGTCTCAGGTGATGAAGACCTCCGCGATCCACTCACTTGCCAGTCTAGAAATCCACTGCTCAGCTTGTCCAGTACCCCTGAAAGTTTCCGAAACTCTGTGGTCAAGGCTCAAAAGCAGCTTTCCTCTATTCGAAGACATTTCCATCATCTTTCCGAACGAGGCCTTTGCTTCTCATTCATTGCATTTGTGCGACCGCATCCCCGATACTATTAAACAGCGTGACCCCAATTCCCCGTTCGAGAGATGGAGTTTTTGTAAAAAGCTTGAGAAACAGGCAATTAGGCTCACTCTTCACATTCCTTATCTTAATTCAGAGGAAAGGCTTAATAGATTGCAACCTCCTTGGACTCAGCAGAGTCGACAACACACAAACCTCGCAAAACCATGAGGGTTCCTCTTTCAAACATTCTGGTGTGCACGATCTTCGAGGCTATCCCTGAAGGTTGTTCAAACCCAGAGGGGGCACGTGAGTTTGATGGAGGATTTTTCTGAAATGTGTCTCGAAGACCTGAGAACAATTGCTTGTAAAACCCCTCTCCGCCGCACACAGAGATGATTTATCAAACTTCCAGATTGCTTTGTGTGACTCAGGGGAACCCATTGTGGTTCATGCTTGGCACGGAACTGCGTAATACCCTCCCTCCCAGCATATTGTCTAAGGTCACCCACTGTCCTAATAGCAGTACATACGATCTCACCGATATGCAGGGGACAGATTAAGTGTCAGTTTTCAGGATAGGCATGTTGCCAGCCTTCTGCAACTTTCGCTGTCGGCACTCATGACGCACCGCTTTAGTCGCCTGCAGCTTGCCCTATTCCAGATTTCCGGTGAGTACTTCAGTGCTTCACTTGGCTTTCATTTCAGTCGAGATTCTAACAGAAAATAAACCTGATATTCAGGAGTCAATTGTGTAATTATTTACCATACTGACAACACAGGTACTAGCTTAAGGCCCAGGAGTCTTCGGCCACC